ACTTCACACCGTGCGATGAACAACAGACGGGGTGGACCTCATAGTCACAAAACCCTGCTGTTCAGTGATGGACACGGGACTTGAAATGGTGAACCACATAAGACCCCGCTAGAGTAGGTATGGTACTGAACCGGACGACAGCAAAGCCGTCTATCACCAAAATTTGGTGACGGTGGCAGGGCTCAAACCATAGGGTACAATGCACGCCGGTGCCAGCGACTAAACCACTGCGCTACCATTCAAGGTTGCAGGACACAGGTTCGCTTTTTCAGTTTCTCGTGGGATTTTTACTTGCTTTTTTAACAGTTCAAGGCACAATAGAATGTAATGCAGAAAACATTAGTATCCTTCCCAGTGTTGTTTATTTGTTCCACGATGAAATGGCTGCCTAAGAGGACTCTATGTTATTGCTGATTCAGGTATCACATCACTAGACTCATTCAGCAATTACAACGAGTCATGTAGACGACTCTAAAACTGTAAAACAGTAATAATGTTGATATCATCTGCAGTGCGCATTTATCAACCCCAAACGGAGTCGGATCTGGGACCCTACTAGCCAAGCGCAAGTGTACTGCTGCTCACTTGACCACTTATACACGATATAACTCGATCCTATTATGCATTACTATCCTCAATCATCCTACTGACAACTTTCGGATTTCATATTTTATTAGTTTAGTTCTCCTTCTGTAACGTGTAACCGATTGACATAGATTGTGTAGGTCTTTTAGAAAACTGGACTTCTAGAAATTATTTAAATACTTCTTAGAGTATCAAGCTTGGATTAACCCATTCGATTGTTCAGAGGCACGAGGCACTCATGCTGATCTTTGGTGTGGGTTTAATTCCTTGGGAGATCGTTAATTCTCCAAGAGGTGGTGCATTCAAATGCGACGGAAATGTTTGTGATAACTATCAAATAGCACTGGACAGCTGTTTCGTCGCGTTTGGGACTCGTCAGCAGTGCGTACTTTTTGTGTCCCTGTCAGGACGCGAACCTTCGGGTTGGGACTTCAAACCCCTACCCCTGAGCTACATGTTCGACTGTCATCACCTTGTGCGAATGACTCAAAAAGTATGCACTGCCGACGAGTCCCAAACAGGAAGAAACAGTTGTTCAGCGCTCTTTTTCGGTTATCACAAACATTTCCATCGCATTTAAATACTTTGTTTAAATATTGTTTTCTTCCTTCATCCGTTCCATTCATTCGGGTGAAACTGGGAAGGTACTCCTGATGTTAATCTTCAATTCAGCAATAAATTTTCTCCTGTTTTAATACAATGAATGTATCTGCACAAGTTCGTCTTCCTCATCCTTCGAATCACAATCTTCTCACCATCCGTTATAGCATCCGAGTTTGGCTATCGTTCGTGGCGCTGGTATGGTTATGCGGGCCCTGATAGAGGAAGGCGGTGAAGAAATAGCCCGCGAGATGCGCTGTTTGGCCCTGACAGAAGGTGCACTGTTCCACCACTTATCCATTGCCTGTTTCACCCAGGGCAAGGACACACGCAGTCTGGCAATCAGGTTTGTCCGGGATCGGGGCATATCCGCTTTTTCTGTCACAACTTGAATCGTCTCTGCATGTTCTCTATGTATGTCTCCGCCCGATCTATTTACGAATTCAAAAGTGGTCAAATCTCGTACATAAAAAAGATGTACTGAAAAGCTGGGGAGCATACACAGCACGGCGGATTTAATCTTTCCCTATTCCGTTAACGGTGCTCATCCATCAACCGCACCCGTCATCGAACTGGGGGTCTCAAATACGTACAGTATGTCTTATGTTGGGCATCCGAAGGTCACTCGGTCAATCAGCTGATCGTACACAGTTGTTGCGCCCGCATTACAGTGTAAACGAAGTCCAAACTGAGCCAAGGCAACAAAGTTTGACACCGAATAATTTCTTCCGGTGTGAGATTGGTAGATGGGACAACAAGCCAAAGGCACTACCCACAGCTCATTGTTTACGAGACAGTAGTTATATGACACTTGTTCTTATTCTCACGACAAAAGGGATCGCAATCACTCCAGCTGTCGAGGGGTCGAGCGAGGTTGATCATATAATTGTTATCGTCCCGTATCAATTGCTGACCCGTTTACCGATACGAATAGGGGAACTGTCGATGATAACCAAACTCACTTGTTCCATATCTTAGGCCCACGTAATAAACTGGGGTGAGGGTGTGGAACAAAGACAGACAGCTACCCGGTTCATTTCCTATGATTTCTGACGCAATCACACTGACTTAAGTTATTCACAGTCAAGCCTTTCTGTCATGCCTTATTTCTGATTGTGATGTTCTCTTCCATTCCATGTTGTGTGTATTCCTACAGTTGAATTATTCAAGTTTGATAAAGCATCGGAGCACTTACAATTGCAGCATCTGTGTGAGAAATCAGGCATATTATTATTATTATTACTTTCTAGTTGTAAAGTTATCAGAGAGATTCTGTAAAAGCCCTATGGGAAATGATAAGCATTAGATTTGTTAAGTCATCCATAATAATACACCAATGCGGTCGCAAGCAGAACTGTCGAAAAGGGTTCGCATATCCCGGATTCCGGTAAACTTAACTGCAGTGTGTTAGTGCTGTGATGTCTGCCTGTCTATCACACGATCGTGCGCAGCAGGCTTTCGCTCAGTCTCCCACCTCATGTGAACACATCGGATCTGTTATTGTAGTTCAGCAGGGTTTGAATCTCCGGAAGTAGATAGTCCTCTTCCGAGGATTTTCCTTTTTTTTTCAAACTTTAGCATGATGGCGTTGATTTCTTTCTCGAGTTTGTCGCAGGTACGGCACGGGTACCATGGTGATAGCGAAATTATTTGATTGTGTCTGGTTGGTGATTCAACATGTTTGATATGGAAGCAATATCGACACCGTATGTGCTTACTATTCCACTAAGCGATGTGAGTACTTTGTCGTAGATTTCTGTCTGTTCCTCGTTGTCTTGACAACCCAGCCCGACCCCCCCCCCCCG